CCCCTTCAGACTTCCCTGCCATCATCTTGGGCCATTGAAATATCGTGATGCTAAGTGAGTCTCAGGGTCCGTGAGGAAGTGTGCCTCTACCCCTTCAGACTTCACCGCCATCATCTTGGGCCATAGAAATATCGTGATACTAAGTGAGTCTCGGGGTCCGTGAGGAAGTGTTCCTCTACCCCCTTCATACGTCCCCACCATCACCTAGGGCCATAGAAATATCTTGATGCTAAGTGAGTCTCGGGGTTGCTGAGGAAGTGTGGCTCTACCCCTTCAGACTTCCCCACCATCACCTAGGGCCATAGAAATATCGTGATGCTAAGTGAGTCTTGGGGTTCGTGAGGAAGTGTGGCTCTGCCGCTTCAGACTTCCCCGCCATCACCTAGGGCCATTGAAATATCGTGATGCTAAGTGAGTCTGGGGTTAGAGTGAGGAAGTGTGGGTCTACCCCTTCAGACTTCCCCACCATCACCTAGGGCCACTGAAATATCGTGATGCAAAGTGAGTCCCGGGGTTCAGAGGAAGTGTGACTCTACCCCTTCAGACTTCCCCGCCATCATCTTGGGCCATAGAAATATCTTGATGCTAAGTGAGTCTCAGGGTCGGTGAGAGGAAGTGTGCCTCTACCCTTCAGACTTCACCGCCATCATCTTGGGCCATAGAAATATCGTGATGCTAAGTGAGTCTCAGGGTCCGTGAGGAAGTGTGGCTCTACCCCTTCAGACGTCCCCGCCATCAACTAGAGCCATAGAAATATCGTGATGCTAAGTGTGTCTCAGGGTTCGTGAGGAAGTGTGCCTCTACCCCTTCAGACGTCCCCGCCATCACCTAGGGCCATATAAATATCTTGATGCTAAGTGAGTCTTGGGGTTCGTGAGGAAGTGTGCCTCTACCCCTTCAGACGTCCCCGCCATCACCTAGGGCCATAGAAATATCGTGATGCTAAGTGAGCCTCAGGGTTCGTGAGGAAGTGTGGCTCTACCCCTTCAGACTTCCCCGCCATCACCTAGGGCCACTGAAATATCGTGATGCTAAGTGAGTCTCGGGGTTCGTGAGGAAGTGTGGCTCTACCCCTTCAGACGTCCCCGCCATCAACTAGGGCCATAGAAATATCGTGATGCTAAGTGAGTCTCAGGGGTCCGTGAGGAAGTGTGCCTCTACCCCTTCAGACTTCCCGCCATCATCTTGGGCCATAGAAATATCGTGATGCTAAGTGAGTCTCGGGGTTCGTGAGGAAGTGTGCCTCTACCCCTTCAGACGTCCCCGCCATCACCTAGGGCCATAGAAATATCGTGATGCTAAGTGAGTCTCGGGGTTGGTGAGGAAGTGTGGCTCTACCCCTTCAGACGTCCCCGCCATCAACTAGAGCCATAGAAATATCGTGATGCTAAGTGTGTCTCAGGGTTGGTGAGGAAGTGTGCCTCTACCCCTTCAGACTTCCCCGCCATCACCTAGGGCCATAGAAATATCGTGATGCTAAGTGAGTCTCGGGGTTCGTGAGGAAGTGTGGCTCTACCCCTTCAGACTTCCCCACCATCACCTAGGGCCACTGAAATATCGTGATGCTAAGTGAGTCTGGGGTTCGTGAGGAAGTGTGCCTCTACCCCTTCAGACTTCCCCCCCGCCATCACCTAGGGCAATTGAAATATCGTGATGCTAAGTGAGTCTCTGGGTTCAGGGTGTGAGGAAGTGTGCCTCTACCCCTTCAGACTTCCCCGCCATCACCTCATCTTGGAAATATGTCGAGATGCTAAGTGAGTCTTTGGGTTGGTGAGGAAGTGTGGCTCTACCCTTCAGACTTCCCCCCGCCATCACCTTGGGCAATAGAAATATCGTGATGCTAAGTGAGTCTGGGGTTTGTGAGGAAGTGTGGGTCTACCCCTTCAGACTTCCCTGCCATCATCTTGGGCCATAGAAATATCGTGATGCTAAGTGAGTCTCAGGGTCCGTGAGGAAGTGTGCCTCTACCCCTTCAGACTTCACCGCCATCATCTTGGGCCATAGAAATATCGTGATGCTAAGTGAGTCTCGGGTTCGTGAGGAAGTGTTCCTCTACCCCTTCAGACGTCCCCACCATCACCTAGGGCCATAGAAATATCTTGATGCTAAGTGAGTCTCGGGGTTCGTGAGGAAGTGTGGCTCTACCCCTTCAGACGTCCCCGCCATCACCTAGGGCCATAGAAATATCGTGATGCTAAGTGAGTCTCAGGGTTCGTGAGGAAGTGTGCCTCTACCCCTTCAGACTTCCCCGCCATCACCTAGGGCCATAGAAATATCGTGATGCTAAGTGAGTCTCAGGGTTCGTGAGGAAGTGTGCCTCTACCCCTTCAGACTTCCCCACCATCACCTAGGGCCACTGAAATATCGTGATGCTAAGTGAGTCTCGGGGTTCTGAGGAAGTGTGCTCTACCCCTTCAGACTTCCCGCCATCATCTTGGGCCATAGAAATATCGTGATGCTAAGTGAGTCTCATGGTTCGTGAGGAAGTGTGCCTCTACCCCTTCAGACTTCACCGCCATCACCTGGGCCATAGAAATATCGTGATGCTAAGTGAGTCTCAGGGTCCGTGAGGAAGTGTGCCTCTACCCCTTCAGACGTCCCCCGCCATCACCTAGGGCCATAGAAATATCGTGATGCTAAGTGAGTCTCAGGGTTCGTGAGGAAGTGTGCCTCTACCCCTTCAGACGTCCCCGCCATCACCTAGGGCCATAGAAATATCGTGATGCTAAGTGAGTCTCTTGGGGTTAAGTGTGAGGAAGTGTGCCTCTACCCCTTCAGACTTCCCCGCCATCACCTAGGGCCATAGAAATATCGTGATGCTAAGTGAGCCTCAGGGGTTCGTGAGGAAGTGTGGCTCTACCCCTTCAGACTTCCCCGCCATCACCTAGGGCCACTGAAATATCGTGATGCTAAGTGAGCCTCAGGGTTCGTGAGGAAGTGTGGCTCTACCCTTCAGACTTCCCCGCCATCACCTAGGGCCATGGAAATATCGTGATGCTAAGTGAGTCTCTGTGAGGGGGTTCGTGAGGAAGTGTGGCTCTACCCCTTCAGACTTCCCCGCCATCACCTAGGGCCATAGAAATATCGTGATGCTAAGTGAGTCTCGGGGTTCGTGAGGAAGTGTGCCTCTACCCCTTCAGACTTCCCCGCCATCACCTAGGGCCATAGAAATATCGTGATGCTAAGTGAGTCTCAGGGTTCGTGAGGAAGTGTGCCTCTACCCCTTCAGACTTCCCCGCCATCACCTAGGGCCATAGAAATATCGTGATGCTAAGTGAGTCTCTTCAGGGTTCCGTGAGGAAGTGTGGCTCTACCCCTTCAGACTTCCCCGCCATCACCTAGGGCCATAGAAATATCGTGATGCTAAGTGAGTCTCAGGGTTCGTGAGGAAGTGTGCCTCTACCCCTTCAGACTTCCCCACCATCACCTAGGGCCACTGAAATATCGTGATGCTAAGTGAGTCTCGGGATCCGTGAGGAAGTGTGCCTCTGACCCTTCAGACTTCCCCACCATCACCTAGGGCCATAGAAATATCGTGATGCTAAGTGAGTCTCAGGGTTCGTGAGGAAGTGTGCCTCTACCCCTTCAGACTTCCCCGCCATCATCTTGGGCCATAGAAATATCGTGATGCTAAGTGAGTCTCAGGGTCCATGAGGAAGTGTGCCTCTACCCCTTCAGACTTCCCCGCCATCACCTAGGGCCATAGAAATATCATGATGCTAAGTGAGTCTCGGGGTTCATGAGGAAGTGTGCCTCTACCCCTTCAGACTTCCCCACCATCACCTAGGGCCACTGAAATATCGTGATGCAAAGTGAGTCTTGGGGTTCCTGATGAAGTGTGTCTCTACCCCTTCAGACGTCCCCGCCATCACCTAGAGCCATAGAAATATCGTGATTCTAAGTGAGTCTCAGGGTCCATTAGGAAGTGTGGCTCTACCCCTTCAGAGTTCCCCGCCATCACCTAGGGCCATTGAAATATCAAGATGCTAAGTGAGTCTCGTGTTTCCTGAGGAAGTGTGTCTCTACCCCTTCAGACGTCCCTGCCATCACGTTGCGCCATAGAAATATCGTGATACTAAGTGAGTCTCGGGGTCCTTGAAGAAGTGTGGCTCTACCCCTTCAGACCTCCCCGCCATCACCTAGGGCCATAGAACGATCGTGATGCGAAGTGAGTTTCAGGGTCCGTGAGGAGGTGTGGCTCTACCCCTTCAGTCTTCCCTGTCATCACGTTGGCCATAGAAATATCGAGATGCTAAGTGAGTCTGGGGTTCGTGAGGAAGTGTGCCTCTACCCCTTTCGGACTTCCCCACCATCACCTTGGGCCATAGGAATATCGTGATGCTAAGTGAGTCTCTGGGTCAGTGAAATTACAAAAATGCCATGATACTGTTGTGGATATTACATGCATTGCGTCCCTTCTGAACATCAAGGCATCTACAACCAGCTTATCACAGGGCTACACACAGTAGATTTAGACGACCAGATGACTGACTTCCAGTTTTGTAGAAGAATTGATGGCTTAGATCGGATTAGAGTGGATTAGATCTTTGGCTTTGTGTGCCGAAGATTAGGTACCTCATCCACAGTGTGGGCTGAAATCACGGATAGGACTCAATCCCAAAACGTACTAGTATCTGTACTCTGCCGAGAAAGTGTGATCCCAACTATAACATATGTTGCAACCAGAAAGATGTACTATCGAATGATTATTTGTGTTCCATGTGAATTTTCATTCTAAAAATGGAAATTTCCGATCGAGACTCGCAGCTGATTTGGCTCAAGTAGCCACATGGATATTTGCTCAGGGAATATCTGCATGGCACCATCTGTCATGGAGGTGTTCTCCAGATCTTAGCGCAGGGAAGGTATCGCTGTGGAGTGAAGATCTGGTTGTAATGTTGTTATATACTTAAGCTTAACGTTGATGTTTTTTCTTTCTTTCTCTTTTCTTTAGATTTTGATATCAGATGACTCAAAGAAGTCACGTAACTCTGTTCCAGCTAACCTCAAGGAAAGGATTCTAGCCCACCAGCGCCGAGAGCGACAGGAGGCAGTCAAACTGCTGTTGGAGGCTGTTCTGGCCAAACCGGAAGACCATGTCTCCATGTTTATATATGCCCTCACGGAAGTAGGTAAGACGTACACAATCTGACCACCGTAAGGACACAGCTAAACAGACGGTGGTAAACTGACATGAATATAGCCCTGTCTATACTGTGTCAGAAACACAAACACGACAGATAAACATTGGAGAGACACAATCTGACCACTGTACGGACATAGCTAAACAAACGGCGGTAAACTAACATGAATCCTCGCGGAAACACAAACACGACAGATAAACGTTATAGAGACACAATCTGACCACTGTACGGACATAGCTAAACAAACGGCGGTAAACTAACATGAATCCTCGCAGAAACACAAACACGACAGATAAACACAGGAGAGATACAATCTGACCACTGTACGGACATAGCTAAACAAACGGCGGTAAACTAACATGAATCCAGCTCTGTCCATACTGTGTCACAAACATAAACACGACAGATATACACAGGAGAGACACACAATCTGACCACTGTAAGGATATATTGTAACAGACGGCGGCAAACTGACATGTATCCACGCAGAAACAGAAACACCACAGATGAACACAGGAGAGACACAATTTGGCCAGGATTGATAACTCGTTCACTTGCCATGTACATGATTGAAGGAAACAATCTTCTAATAACAAAATTTCTTTACAAAAAACATTACAAAAAACATTTTCACTCTGCTTTACCAACATGCATTATTCTTCTATAGCTATTTCTGTCACTGTGATGTCCTTCTTAAGCTCCGTCCTCGTCTACATTAAACACATACCTGTGATGTTGCTGTTGTGACATTATGTTCCTGCATGTTTCAGGTTTTGAACACTTCACGGACATACTTGAAGACAGCAAAGGCCCTCAAGACAGAAACAGAACTTCAGCCAAATATGAAATGTTGATTCTCTGGCTGCAGGGCGATCTAAAGGACAAGATCATTCCGACAGAGATCATTGATGGCCTGAAGCCAATACTCAGTGACAGGGACTACGAGCTGATTCGCAACTTGGAGACTGAACGAAGTGCCCACGATGCCTGTCAGGAGCTGTTCCTGGCCATGCCGAGGAAAACCCCCCGCTGGGCCTCCTACTTCCTGGATGCTCTGTACAACGCCTATGGCCCCCAGTTACTGGCGAAAATACACCCCGACTTGCCCCGTGGTAGGTGGCAGCACTGTCCTTCGATTTGTGGTGGTAGATGAGTACAAATAATCTATTTCCACTTATTAACCCTATAGTCATGTTGGAATCGCTACACGTTGTAGTAATGGTCTTGTTATAGAGTAGTATAGGGAATAGCGGTTCAATTACAGGTTCCCTATAAGCGTTATTTTGTCAAATTCCGGCACCTATCGGAGTGGAAAATTAAGCGTAAATGACGGCGGGCCATCATTCATCGTCCATGCAAATTGTTCCTCTTTTAGAGATAAGATGTTGTTATAAGTATAATGAAAATGAACGTGCAAGAAAAATTGAGATACCAGCGTTTATCACGGTAACAGTTGTTTGGGGCAACCAGAGATTGCAGCTTGCATTAAAAGAGAAGTCTCACTATGCAGAATCGTTCGTGGACGGGGAACGAAAAATTAGCTGGATAACGAAAGACATGGGCAGGTTCGACACCGGATTTAGAGTTCGCTTAGAACCAGCTCAAACTTTCAAGAAAGGTGGAAAAAACATAACTTGTCATCCGACCACTTTAAGGGTTTTACCGAACACCATGAAACTATCGGATTATTTTATGGATTTACATTGATATCGTATTTTCGTTTGGACAGGAAGGCTAGCCTGCCCTGTTCTATGAGCCTTTTCTCGTCTTTGCTGATGTCGTTCGTCTTGCGGACCTTGGTTCGAATCTCTTTTTTCATGCTGTGGTACTTGGCGAGTTCTGCCAAGATCAGACGGAACTCTTCATCAGTGATCTTGCTGTCGGTGAGCGCCGTTGATATGTGATCATCGATCGTGTTCAACTTGGCTTCGGCTAGAACCCTCATCTCGCTTTGCGTTTCAGCCAATGTGAAATGAAATTGAGAGCTATTCCCGCCAGCCCCGACACCCCCTTGGCTATGCTGTCTGACAATAGTGGCTGACAATAGTGAGTGAGTGAGTGAGTGAGTATGGTTTTATGCCGCTTTAAGCAATTCCAGCAATATCACGACAGGGGACACCAGAAATGGGAGACTGACAATAGACTGACGCCGGTCCCATGCTGATGGTTACGAGCACTGAATCCATACCGTCTACGGCGTTCATGACTCTGTGGTACTTTATGTGCAAAGCACTTGTTCCAGTTGGCGACAGCGTTTGATGTCGCATATCTGTCACAGACAAACTCCATCCACTGTTTCTGTTGTTTCGGCTACTTCGTCCATGTTGGGATACAAACTCATCTTTATATTAATAGAAGTTATGAAATAATATTTAATTGGTTTTCCGTCAATTTCTCGTGCATATACTTTATGCTTATTAGGCCCATAAGTTCCTGTAACTAAAAAGTACTTGGTGAAATGGGAGACGATAAATTTTGAAAAATCATGATCCCTTCGAGGCTTGTGAAGGCGGGTGTTCCTGGTCGTACATAAATACGGCAACGTTGATATATATTGTTATCACTCAAACGTTTTTTAAAACTTCCAGAATTTTAACATCTTCTGCGGGGCCGAAAAAAAGAAAGACTTCTATAATAACTGTAGAACTTTGTATACCATTTACCCACGAATTTGGGAATTGATGCTCTTTTAAAAAATCGAGTTTAGCTGTTTTCCGAAGGGGTGACTAACATATTACCTGTTTCACCTCGAACTGTCATATTTACATACATCGTCTTTTCTGTAGGTTTAAAAACCCTGAGTAGAAGCCCATTGTTTTTATTTCGGTGACAAACCCCTCATCATCCGTGACGACATAGTGTGGGTCAGGGTAATATTGATGATCCAGTTCATTTCGTGCATTACTTCTCATTGTTTGTAAACATGATTTTGCAAGTGAAATGCGTCGTCGGTGTAGACCAGTCAAAATACGACAGAAAGAAACACTTTTGCGAGCGGTGCCTGCACAACTACACACGCGCCAACCTGTCGGAAGCGCACCGGGAGGACTGCTCGGGCGTGGGACAGACGGCAATCAGAATCGACATGCCTAAGGAAGACAACAACATCTTAAAATTCGCCAACCACAAGAAACAAATGCCGGTGCCCTACGTTATCTACGCCGACTTCGAAACCCTCATCAAAAACGTTGACCACACCGATGCTCCAACTCGACCGACCAGAGTTTCACTCACAAAACGCAAGAACACGAGGCCTGCGGGTTCGGGTACATGGTGGTATGATACGACAGGAAAACGAATCCTCCCGTGATCTACCGCGGTCCAGATGCAGCCAAAAAGTTTCTCACCTGCCTGCAACGCGAGGAAACATCATCAGGAAAAATATGTACAGAATCATCCCCATGCACATGACGAGGGACGACTGGCGAGCTCACAAGAACGCCACGCTCAAAAGAGGGAGAAACAGCTACCAGACTGGGTCAGCGTGAGGTATTTGTACCAGCCGGGTGAACACGAGGGAGATAGCAGAAAACGTGCCACGGATCCTATGGTGGTCGCTGAAAACTTACAGCATCGACCGAGTTGATATCCGAGATGGTGAACCCAGTCTGTATTATTTTACAGACGGACCAGTCCGAGCATTTGTCAAGGAGGAATTACAAGTCGTGTCTCACTACACGGTGCTTCCCAGCTCACTGTAGCTCAGCGAGTCACTTATCGATCGCCCTACACACAGTGAGAGAGACGGCCAGTGTATAGATTACTATAATTTAACATCTAACTATCGGAGCCGCAGTGCATGGCTCAAATCATAGGTGACTGTGTGATCAGTCCTATGTTGTAGAACAGCGCAACTCGACAATGTGAGTTCGTATCCCGGTGAAACTGTCTCTGTGGAGGTCTTGCAACTTTCGATTTCGTTTCCCGTAAGCCATCAACAGCATATCAGAGGAACCTTCTGAGAAAGTCCCTCTTTTTGTGAGAGGTTAAATGCAGTCGACAGAATCCCCTAGGGAGGAAGCTGCGCAATATTCTACTTTATCTTTTATCACCCGCCGACAATTTAACTGTTTTGTTGTACACTTTAAAAATCTGGACGGCAAATGAGGGCATCATTCACGCCTAATTTTTCACTCCGACAGGAGCCAAAGTTTGACAAAATAACGCTTATGGGGGATCTGTAATAGAACTGCTATTCCCTATACTACTTATAGACTTATAGTAATGTACTCCAACCCCATTAAAGTGTGCGGGAATGTATCAGTTGGATGCTGGTAACAGTAGCAGCACATGGTGTGAGAGGGAATGTATCAGTTGGATGCTGGTAACAGTAGCAGCACATGGTGTGAGAGGGAATGTATCAGTTTGATGCTGGTAACAGTAGCAGGACATGCTGTGAGAGGGAATGCATCAGTTGGATGCTGGTAACAGTAGCAGCATGCTGTGAGCGGTGAGAGGAATGTATCAGTTGGATGCTGGTAAGAGTAGCAGCACATGGTGTGAGAGGGAATGCATCAGTTGGATGCTGGTAACAGTAGCAGCACATGGTGTGAGAGGGAATGCATCAGTTGGATGCTGGTAACAGTAGCAGCACATGGTGTGAGAGGGAATGCATCAGTTGGATGCTGGTAACAGCAGGACATGGTGTGAGAGGAATGCATCAGTTTGATGCTGGTAACAGTAGCAGCACATGCTGTGAGAGGAATGATCATGGATCAGTTGGAGCAGCTGGTGAGAGGAATGTATCAGTTGGATGCTGGCGGTAGCAAGCAGCAGCATGGTGTGTGAGAGGGAATGTATCAGTTGGATGCTGGTAACAGTAGCAGCACATGGTGTGAGAGGGAATGCATCAGTTGGATGCTGGTAACAGTAGCAGGACATGGTGTGAGAGGGAATGCATCAGTTGGATGCTGGTAAGAGTAGCAGCACATGCTGTGAGAGGTAGTTGGATGCTGGTACAGTAACAGCACATGGTGTGAGAGGGAATGCATCAGTTGGATGCTGGTAAGAGTAGCAGCACATGCTGTGAGAGGGAATGTATCAGTTGGATGCTGGTAACAGTAGCAGGACATGGTGTGAGAGGGAATGCATCAGTTGGATGCTGGTAACAGTAGCAGGCACATGGTGTGAGAGGGAATGCATCAGTTGGATGCTGGTAACAGTAGCAGCACATGGTGTGAGAGGGAATGTATCAGTTTGATGCTGGTAACAGTAGCAGCACATGCTGTGTGTGAGGAATGAGGAATGTATCAGTTTGATGCTGGTAACAGTAGCAGCACATGCTGTGAGAGGGAATGCATCAGTTGGATGCTGGTAACAGTAGCAGCACATGGTGTGAGAGGGAATGCATCAGTTGGATGCTGGTAACAGTAGCAGCACATGGTGTGAGAGGGAATGCATCAGTTGGATGCTGGTAACAGTAGCAGCACATGGTGTGAGAGGGAATGTATCAGTTGGATGCTGGTAACAGTAGCAGCACATGGTGTGAGAGGGAATGTATCAGTTGGATGCTGGTAAGAGTAGCAGCACATGGTGTGAGAGGGAATGTATCAGTTGGATGCTGGTAACAGTAGCAGCACATGCTGTGAGAGGGAATGTATCAGTTGGATGCTGGTAACAGTAGCAGCACATGGTGTGAGAGGGAATGTATCAGTTGGATGCTGGTAAGAGTAGCAGCACATGGTGTGAGAGGAATGTATCAGATTGGATGCATGGTGAGAGGAATGTAAGTTGGAGTGGCAGTAGCAGCAACATGGTGTGAGGAATGTATCAGTTGGATGCTGGTAAAAGCAGCACATGCTGTGAGAGGGAATGTATCAGTTGGATGCTGGTAAAAGAGTAGCAGCACATGGTGTGAGAGGGAATGTATCAGTTGGATGCTGGTAAGAGTAGCAGCACATGCTGTGAGAGGGAATGTATCAGTTGGATGCTGGTAACAGTAGCAGCACATGGTGTGAGAGGGAATGCATCAGTTGGATGCTGGTAAGAGTAGCAGCACATGCTGTGAGAGGGAATGTATCAGTTGGATGCTGTATCAGTGTGAGATGAATGTATCAGTTGGATGCTGGTAGACAGCAGGTGGAGAGGGAATGCATCAGTTGGATGCTGGTAAGAGTAGCAGCACATGGTGTGAGAGGGAATGCATCAGTTGGATGCTGGATGCTGAGTAATGCAGGACATGGTGTGAGAGGAATGCATCAGGGAACATCAGTGTGAGCTGGGAATGCATCAGTTGGATGCTGGCAAGTTGGAGTAGCAGCACATGCTGTGAGAGGGAATGCATCAGTTGGATGCTGGTAACAGTAGCAGGACATGGTGTGAGAGGAATGCATCAGTTGGATGCTGGTAACAGTAGCAGGACATCAGTTGGATGCTGGTAACAGTAGCAGGACATGGTGTGAGAGGGAATGCATCAGTTGGATGCTGGTAACAGTAGCAGCACATGGTGTGAGAGGGAATGCATCAGTTGGATGCTGGTAACAGTAGCAGGACATGCTGTGAGAGGGAATGTATCAGTTGGATGCTGGTAACAGTAGCAGCACATGGTGTGAGAGGGAATGTATCAGTTTGATGCTGGTAACAGTAGCAGCACATGCCTTGCAAGGTACATTTTGTGTATGAAGATAATATTGTACATCTTTGTGATCGTCCAGATGTAGGCGTTGACGAGGATGAGGACAGTGATGACGGGGAGGATGGGAGTGACACCGGTGAGTCTAACTTATGCTGTAAACCCTTGACATAAAAATACGAACATATTTATTCAGATATATGCTGTGTCTCAGCTCTATGTCTTGTAGGTAAGTATTTTGTCAAAAATATGTTTTTTGCTGACAGACTCCCAGTCAGAGACGGGCTGTGTATCGTCAGTGACCTCCTTTCCGGATCTAGACTCTCGGGAAGAAAACGTGAGCTAGTTTTCTACATATATTAATAGGAATCCTGGAAATCTCAAAGAATGATATTATAAATCTTTCTAAAGTACGGGTAGAGAGGGCTGATGATGGCCCTCACCAGCCTGGATGTGCCCGGACCTCTCTCTGTTGCATACCGTTTTAATCTGCAAAACATTATAATATATTTCAAAAATGGCAGCCTCCAGAGCATAGTGAATAGAATGTTGGCCCATAGAACAGAATGTTGGTGTTTCTTTCACGCTCAAACTGCAATACATTGAAAGATGGTATATGTTGTCACCTTGCCTGTCACTCGGCATTACTAGTATCAACACAGCAGCACCACTAGCCACACATACACGCGGCATTACTGGTATGAACACAGCACCACCAGCCACACATACACGCGGCACTACTGGTATGAACACAGCACCACCAGCCACACATACACGCGGCATTACTGGTATAAACACAGCACCACCAGCCACACATACACACGGCATTACTGGTATGAACACAGCACCACCAGCCACACATACACATTACTGGTATGAACACACCACCAGCCACACATACACGCGGCATTACTGGTATGAACACAGCACCTCTAGCCACACATACACACGGCATTACTGGTATGAACACAGCACCACCAGCCACACATACACGCGGCATTACTGGTATGAACACAGCACCTCTAGCCACACATACACACGGCATTACTGGTATGAACACAGCACCACCAGCCACACATACTCATGGCATTACTGGTATGAACACAGCACCACCAGCCACACATACACACGGCATTACTGGTATGAACACAGCACCACCAGCCACACATACACACGGCATTACTGGTATGAACACAGCACCACCAGCCACACATACACACGGCATTACTGGTATGAATACAGCACCAGCAGCAGCCACACATACACACGGCATTACTGGTATGACCACAGCACCATCAGCCACACATACTTGGGCATTACTGGTATGACCACAGCACCACCAGCCACACATACACGCGGCATTACTGGTATGAATACAGCACCACCAGCCACAGCACCACCAGCCACACATACACACGGCATTACTGGTATGAACACAGCACCACCAGCCACAGCACCACCAGCCACACATAAACACGGCATTACTGGTATGAACACAGCACCACCCGCCACACATACACGGGCATTACTGGTATGAACACAGCACCACCAGCCACACATACACACGGCATTACTGGTATGAACACAGCCACCATCAGCCACACATGGTATGAACACAGGGCCACCAGCTGGTATGAACACGGCATTACACCACCAGCACCACTACACACACACGGCATTACTGGTATACCACCAGCCATGACCACAGCATTACTGGTATGAATACAGCACCACCACATGCGCGCGGCATTACTTACATGGTATGAACACAGCACCACCAGCACACATACACGCGGCATTACTGGTATGAACACAGCACCACCAGCCACACATACACGCGGCATTACTGGTATGAACACAGCACCACCAGCCACACATACGGGCATTACTGGTATGAACACAGCACCACCAGCCACACATACACGCGGCATTACTGGTATGACCACAGCACCACTAGCAACACATACACACGGCATTGCTGGTATGAACACAGCACCACCAGCCACACATACACACGGCATTACTGGTATGAACACAGCACCACCAGCCACACATACACACGGCATTACTGGTATGAATACAGCACCAGCAGCAGCCACACATACACACGGCATTACTGGTATGACCACAGCACCTCTAGCCACACATACACGCGGCATTACTGGTATGAACACAGCACCACCAGCCACACATACACGCAGACATGCACAACACAGTACACACGAGGTTAAACCACATTTCATCTCAGGTCATCATTTTTCCAAACTTGTTAGAGTATAATAATCCATTTCTCAGTCGCCTTTTGTTGTTGGCTGTTGTAAATAAAACAGGAACTCACTCACTCACTCACTCATACTCATTCTTCACGAAAGACCTTGCTCTCTCAGGACCAGCCGAATCGTCAGGTCGACCTCCAGGGAAAACCGGAAGGTCAGGTCGACACCCAGCACTTCTCGGAGCATCGGGTCGATCCCCGGGGCCACCCGGAACTTCTGGTCGACTCCAAGGGCCATCCAGGGCGTCTGGTCGACTCCCATGGCAACCCGGATCGTCAGGTCGACACCCAGGGCCACATGGAGCGTCAGTTCGATCCCCAGGTCCACCCGGAGCGTCAGGTCGACACCCAGGTCCACCCGGAGCGTCAGGTCGACACCCAGGGCCATCCGGAGCATCAGGTCGACTCCCAGAGCCACAGGGGAGTCGCCAGGTACAGCCGAGACCAACTGTTAGCCCTTCGTCCACGATCAGCACTACCACACATCATCAGCGCAGATATTTCACTGGACTGTTTCCTGGACATGGACACGCCACGTCATCACAGAGGTAGAAGACAATCAGTTCCTGGGCATGTAAAGTCACTGTCGGCACCATTTGTTATGAATAAATGTGAACCAGTGAAGCTAAAACTTGTTCTCACTAGTAGCGCAAAATCTAGTTTTGATATTGCCGCCGGAATAAACCAAATATATTTGACCATTATTCAAATGTAAGGAAAAGTGGTATCTGTGTATATAGGAGTAGGTTTCGACAAGCACCTGCTCTTTTAATGGCATAATATTAAGTACAATCGTCTGTGTTCGATGGCATCTTACACTGATGACTTCATATTCAGGTGAGCTCCAGCAGCCGTGATACATTTCTGATATAGATACTGCTAATTACTTACAGAACTGATTTCAACACCCATCCCGGAACTGAGAGAGGCTGGTGTGGAGGAACAGACACTGAGAAAAAGTAACGAATATAGTTTTATATAGTCTGTCTCACAGTCCCTGAACCACATTAATTTCTCACTGCCAAGCCCTCTCTGCAGTGCTAAAGCCCTAAATTAAGCAAGTCTAGATTTCCTCAGGTTCTGAATCTCTGGTCTCCCTAGGGCTCCTTTTCAATTTAAATGGGCTTGTTTGTTACTATCAAAATTATATATATTCAGAGACTAAGCATGAGTCTAAGCTTTATAGTGCAGACCACATTAAAGCATCTGTATTCTCTAACGGTAATACACTGCAGCTAACAAAACGGACGTCAACAGTCAACATGCACACACATCACGACAAGTAGAATTTATTAAATGTACTTTGAGTTTCTATATACTGTGTAAATATGTTGATATATTGCAAGGATACAGCCAATAATATGTTGTTATATTACAGGGATACAGCCAATAATATGTTGTTATATTACAGGGATACAGCCAATAATATGTTGTTATATTACAGGGATACAGCCAATAATATGTTGTTATATTACAGGGATACAGCCAATAATATGTTGTTGCATGTATATTACAGGGATACAGCCAATAATATGTTGTTTTATTACAGGGATACAGCCAATAATATGTTGTTTTATTACAGGGATACAGCCAATAATATGTTGTTATATTACAGAGATACAGCCAATAATATGTTGTTACATGTATATTACAGGGATACAGCCACCGTCACAAAGCTGCACGGTTTCAAACAGCGACTCATCTGATGACGCAGGAAGCCAGGATGGAGGTTTGTTGCCACAACTCTTTACATCACTGAAAACCCCTAGTTATTCTTTCACCTTCTCTCTGAACAGACCAAGAGACAGATGTCAGTTACTCCTGTGAGGAGGTAGATATCATACCCCTAGATACTACATCTGTAGAGGACCCGTGAAGATGCCGAGTAGAATAGATCTTCAGCAACCCATGTGCTTGCCATAAAAGGCGACTATGCTTGTCGTAAGAGGCGACTAACGGGATCGGGTGGTCAGGCTCGCTGACTTGGTTGACACATGTCATCGGTTCCCAATTGCGCAGATCGATGCTCATGCTGTTGATCACTGGATTGTCTGGTCCAGACTCGATTATTTACAGACCGCCGCCATATAGCTGGAATATTGCTGAGTGCGGCGTAAAACTAAACTCACTCACTCACTCACATCTGTAGAGTAAAATGAATAGGTTCAACACCTCGTTGGGAGGTGACAGTAGATTACCCCTAATACACCTTCTCTCTGAACAGACCTCCCGTGATACCCCTAGATACTTCCTCCACGGGCAGTAGACTACCCCTAGTACACCTTCTTTCTGAACAGACCTCCCGTGATACCCCTAGATACTTCCTCCACGGGCAGTAGACTACCCCTAATACACCTTCTCTCTGAACAGACCTCCCGTGATACCCCTAGATACTACCTCCACGGGCAGTAGACTACCCCTAATACACCTTCTCTCTGAACAGACCTCCCGTGATACCCCTAGATACTACTTCCACGGGCAGTAGACTACCCCTAATATACCTTCTCTCTGAACAGACCTCCCGTGATACCCCTAGATACTTCCTCCACGGGCAGTAGACTACCTCTAATACACCTTCTCCCCTTAACAGACCTCCCGTGATACCCCTAGATACTACTTCCACGGGCAGTAGACTACCCCTAATACACCTTCTCTCTGAACAGACCTCCCGTGATACCCCTAGATACTTCCTCCACGGGCAGTAGACTACCCCTAATACACCTTCTGAACAGACCTCCCGTGATACCCCTAGATACTACTTCCACGGGCAGTAGACTACCCCTAATACACCTTCTCTCTGAACAGACCTCCCGTGATACCCCTAGATACTTCCTCCACGGGCAGTAGACTACCCCTAATACACCTTCTCTCTGAACAGACCTCCCGTGATACCCCTAGATACTACCTCCACGGGCAGTAGACTACCCCTAATATACCTTCTCTCTGAACAGACCTCCCGTGATACCCCTAGATACTACTTCCACGGGCAGTAGACTACCCCTAATACACCTTCTCTCTGAACAGACCTCCCGTGATACCCCTAGATACTACTTCCACGGGCAGTAGACTACCCCTAATACACCTTCTCTCTGAACAGACCTCCCGTGATACCCCTAGATACTACTCCACGGGCAGTAGACTACCCCCTAATACACCTTCTCTCTGAACAGACCTCCTGTGATACCCCTAGATACTTCTTCCACGGGCAGTAGACTACCCCTAATACACCTTCTCTCTGAACAGACCTCCCGTGATACCCCTAGATACTACTTCCACGGGCAGTAGACTACCCTAATACACCTTCTTCTCTGAACAGACCTCCGTGATACCCCTAGATACTACTTCCACGGGCAGTAGACTACCCCTAATACACCTTCTCTCTGAACAGACCTCTGTGATACCCCTAGATACTACTTCCACGGGCGTAGACTACCCCTAATACACCTTTCTCTGAACAGACCACCCGTGATACCCCTAGATACTACTTCCACGGGCAGTAGACTACCCCTAGTACACCTTCTCTCTGAACAGACCTCCCGTGATACCCCTAGATACTACTTCCACGGGCAGTAGACTACCCCTAATACACCTTCTCTCTGAACAGACCTCCCGTGATACCCCTTGATACTTCCTCCACGGGCAGTAGACTACCCCTAATACACCTTCTCTCTGAACAGACCTTCCGTGATACCCCTAGATACTACTTCCACGGGCAGTAGACTACCCCTAATATACCTTCTCTCTGAACAGACCTCCCGTGATACCCCTAGATACTACTTCCACGGGCAGTAGACTACCCCTAATATACCTTCTCTCTAAACAGACCTCCCGTGATACCCCTAGATACTACCTCCACGGGCAGTAGACTACCCCTGATACACCTTCTCTCTGAACAGACCTCCCGTGATACCCCTAGATACTACCTCCACGGGCAGTAGACTACCCCTAATATACCCTCTCTATGAACAGACCCAGAGAGAACTGTCATTTACTCCCGTGAGGACATTGAGATGCGGGAGTACCAGCTGGAGCTTGCTGCCAGTGCCTTAACTGGTCGCAACAACATCATCTGGCCTCCGACCGGATCAGGGAAAACTGTGGTTGCCATCCACATCGCTAAAGGCATCCTTGAGAAAGGTATTGTCCTTTTACAACCTTTAATTTTGAGTTCCACATTCAACAGTATTATATTCAACCCGAATGACGTTAACTTATTATATATAGTCTTGGGAAAATTTAGTTATCATCAAACATTTCCATTCATCATTTCCCTTGACGGTTTCGAGTTTACTTACTTTTGGATTGTTCATATGAAAAGGAGCTAGGACTAATATACGTTTTAAACTCACCCTTGTCATACAACAGTGAACGCCAGCCGGAATAACACAGCAGCTCTATACACACAACTGCAACATTAATCCAGGTGAAAGTGGGGTATTAGTGCTATGATGCATGGAGTGATTAGTAAACGCCAGCCGGAATAACACAGCAGCTCTATTACTGCAACGTTAATCCAGGTGAAAGTGGGGTATTAGTGCTGTGATGCATGGCGTCCTGATTAGTGGGGTTGCCAAAAGGGAGAACATTTAAAATCTTCAATAATATCTATTTTCATTTTTCAGAAAGAAGGAAAGTTATATTTCTTGAGCCAACAGTAGCGCTTGTTAATCAGACTTATCATGAGGTCAGACGTTACCTCGGTGACGAATACAAGGTAGAGTCCGAAAGTCGATCACGCCATTACGATTTATGTGTACATACCGAATTTGATAGGCACACAGACCCAATTGCGACCATAGAAGTTTTGAAGCAAACCTTTGTTATTTAACTAAAATTTGATTATGCAAATAGACACATATCTGGACAAATTTGTAATGTTCTTCATGTGAACATCTATATAATTACTGATTTGTTTATAAATATGAATAAATATATTGATTATTATTGAATAAGATCCTGCGATTCATTAACTGCTATACAGAGATAATTCTGTATATAAGGCGAAACTGTTGTAGGTGATGAAACTGAGGGGCGTCGATGACGACAGCGTTAATCTCCACATCCTCTTGCCATATAACGACATCGCAGTGATGACCCCGATGATCTTGGAGAACCACTTGAAGCAGGAGAAGATCGAGTGTCTGTCCAGCCTGTGTTGTCTGCTCGTCCTAGACGAGTGTCATCACACCCGGAAGGGGGAGGCCTACAACCAGATCATGATCAGATATCTGCGGGAGAAGGAAGGAGGAGCTCAACACCTGCCTCAGGTGAGCGTCAGCGGGACAACAATGAAGAAGAGATGAACGCAGTGCGTTGTGCACCCCGATGTGAAGTCTAACGCTTTGACGTGATGTTTCAAGTGTATTGATAATGTATTTTGTATATTACCCAACAAAGCATAAAAAGGAATATATGGCAGTCATATTGAAACCATCCTTTTGGCTCTCTCTTCCTAACAAAGTATGATTTTGTCAACATATAGTTTAGTCAACATACATGCTGCTCAGACGAAACATTTTTAATGGGTTCATGCAGATTGTTGGATTGACCGCCGCGATTGGGGTAGAGAAAGCATCAACAGATGAAGAGGCCCTCGACAACATCCTGAGACTGTGCGCCAACCTGGACCCTCACTCACCCATAATCTCTACGGTGCAGCGGAACAGGAAGGAACTAGACCGTCTCGTTCCTTTTGCAGAAGAACGTAAGCCTGGTTATATGAATTGTTTCCTTAGCAAAGGTCACGTGTGTACCTGTCCTATAGGCCAACTGCCTCGCCACAAACCTGTAGTCGAGGTCGCCCCTGTCTGTGTTTGGGCCTGCTGCCGCGCCACAAACCTGTAGTCGAGGTCGCCCTGTCTGTGTTTGGGCCTATTGCCGCGCCACAAACCTGTAGTCGAGGTCGCCCCTGTCTGTGTTTGGGCCTACTGCCGCGCCACAAACCTGTAGTCGATCTCGCCCCTGTCTGTGTTTGGGCTTACTGCCGCGCCACAAACCTGTAGTCGAGGTCGCCCCTGTCTGTGTTTGGGCTTACTGCCGCGCCACAAACCTGTAGTCGAGGTCGCCCCTGTCTGTGTTTGGGCTTACTGTCGCGCCACAAACCTGTAGTCGAGGTCGCCCCTGTCTGTGTTTGGGCTTACTGCCGCGCCACAAACCTGTCATCGATCTCGCCCCTGTCTGTGTTTTGGCTTACTGCCGCGCCACAAACCTGTAGTCGAGGTCGCCCCTGTCTGTGTTTGGGCCTACTGCCGCGCCACAAACCTGTAGTCGAGGTCGCCCCTGTCTGTGTTTGGGCTTACTGCCGCGCCACAAACCTGTAGTCGAGGTCGCCCCAGTCTGTGTTTCTAGGTTTGTCAGCACCTAAATGTGCTTGTAGGTTTAACCAAAATGGTGTCGTCTACAACCCATTTCACCATGGGATTTCCTCACACATCTGAAAACTGAAATCTTGTTGAAAGCAAAGCTGAAACTCACACACTCCCGTAATAAAACTGGTCGACTACAACTGCTAAGCACTGAACGTTTACGACGATCAGTCTTACCGTCCACTGTGAAGTGATTTTGTTGCGGTTGCAGTTACCATACCTCTAAAGGAAAACAAGAACAGTCAGTCCAAGAAGGTCATAGAAGATGCAATGGCTCGGATTCAGGGCATACTACCAAGGTTCCAGGGTAAGACAACACTAGACACTAGACTGCGATGAGCTTATGAATAATGTTTACAGTCTTGTCGGCATATAAACGTATAGTTAATATATCATATATCATATACGGCATATAAACGTATAGTTAATATATCATATATCATATACGGCATATAAACGTATAGTTAATATATCATATATCATATACGGTATATAAACGTATAGTTAATATATCATATATGTTTGGTTTGGGAAATTAATGCTGTGATGGTCTGTATTTGTCAGTATCCCACCCGTGCTGGTGGTTTTCACCGTAGCGGTAAGACCCGAACGTTTGTTCGAATGGGGGTTAACCTAACTCGGCTACTTTACAACAACTCCTCTTCAGACATGCACAACGAGGTAATTGGGAAATGTTTGCGGGAAGCGCCTGCAGACTTTGGTAGCCAGTCGTACAATAACTGGACAGTGGATCTCAAGGACACCACCACCAAGGTCAACACGCAAGGTGATACCGAACTGACAGAGATGATACGTGATCTGTCGAGCATTGCCGACCACCTAAATGTAAGTATATTTATAGACTTGATGTCATGCGATAAAGCCACTGAAGACTCGAGGGTGGAGTGACTTCAGGCCTGTGTGTTTAGCGGCCATATCCCTGTGACGTCTGCCATTTAACTGCTAAAGCAATGCATCTTCATTTGTTACCACTCGAATATTTACGTGGAACCCGATCTCAAACTGGCACGAGCTGGACACGAGCACTTCTACGGTGTTTATTAAAATATAGATGCAGCTTCATACAACTCCCCATGCAGTCTATATAGAATCTATATCACCAGTACAAAGTCTTAAATGGACATCTTGAAAAAAATGGTTTGTGTTATAGTCAGTGTGTCAATCTTCGATTCTCGAATTTAGTTGAAAGCTGTGCTTCTTCTCATCGTACTTCAGAAATACAACGTAGCCTTGACTTTGAATGACCTTGTTCGGGTCAAGGACGTTATAGACTATGTCCGCAATGAACTGCTGTCCACACACGGAGGAAGCCTGCAAACAGCTGGCGAACAACAACTCCAGAACGAGGCCAACAGTAAGTGAGGTATTTCTGACGTAGTGTATCACATGAGGAAACAATACTTGACGTGTAGAATAAGATTAGGAGGGAAATTCTCATCTGATAAATGTGACGTAGGGAAGGTAAAACTGAATGTAACCACTTCGAGACTATTGCTCCTAAAAGCCACTCTTAAAACAGACAAGAAGTAGCTCTGAAATAAAGGTACCAACAATATTGAAGTTACTATCAGTATCCACAAGAGATAATGTCTCTTTTATAGATAATTATATGTTTGTCAACACTAGTCCCGTGCTTGTGGTTTTCACCAACGTGGTCAGCGTCTTAGACGTGCATCACGACAGCCAATCTCCCACATCAAGCTGACAGGCCGTGGTGTAACTGGAATACTGTTCAATGTGGCGTTGAACCCAACTCACTCACTCCTCCCACATCAAGCTGACAGGCCGTGGTGTAACCGGAATACAGTTGAATGTGGCGTTGAAACCAACTCACTCACTCACTCCTCCCAGTGACAGTATAAACCCAGCCCGCTATTAACAGTTCAGTCGTCGTGAACCTTATTCGTCAGAAATTGTATCAGGAGGCGTCAAGAACTGAATACTGTTCAATGTGGCGTTGAACCCAACTCACTCACTCACTCCTCCCACATCAAGCTGACAGGCCGTGGTGTAACTGGAATACTGTTCAATGTGGCGTTGAATCCACCTCACTCACTCAATCCTCCCACATCAAGCTGACAGGCCGTGGTGTAACCGGAATACAGTTGAATGTGGCGTTGAACCCAACTCACTCACTCAATCCTCCCACATCAAGCTGACAGGCTGTGGTGTAACTGGAATACTGTTGAATGCTGACAGGCCGTGGTGTAACTGAATACTGTTGAATGTGGCGTTCAACTCACTCACTCACTCCTCCCACATCAAGCTGACAGGCCGTGGTGTAACTGGAATACTGTTGAATGTGGCGTTGAACCCAACTCACTCACTCACTCCTCCCACATCAAGCTGACAGGCTGTGGTGTAACTGGAATACTGTTGAATGTGGCCGTTGAACCCATCATCAAGCTGACACTCACTGAACCCAACTCACTCACTCCTCCCACATCAAGCTGACAGGCCGTGGTGTAACTGGAATACTGTTGAATGTGGCGTTGAACCCAACTCACTCCTCCAACTCCTCCCACATCAAGCTGACAGGCTGTGGTGTAACTGGAATACTGTTGAATGTGGCGTTGAACCCAACTCACTCACTCCTCCCACAGCAAGCTGACAGGCCGCAACTGGATGTTGACGGTGACGTCATCAGCAACCACATCATTGGGTCATCGCGTAAGCCGATTCAAAGTGACAAGACGACTTCGTCCTGCTGGCATGTATGGGCTTACCGACCGCTGCGTGGAATGGCCTTGACCTTCCAGCATCGTAGGAACCGTATGCAGTGGTCATCACTACATCGCTGTTTATTGTTACAATGTCATTTTGCTGCTAAAACACGTGTATTGCAGTGTGCTTCAACATACATTTTCCATTTCATCAAAATGTTTTGTTATTTTTATCTTATGGAAGAAACACAACCTGTGTACTTTCTTTTGCACATCAGTTTATATCCAGTGTGAAATAATGATCTTCACTCAACCGTTGCTCTTGATGTTATACCACGATATAGATGAAATATTGCCAGTGTGGCGATAACTATAAACGCACTCTCGATGTTATGTGGAATGATAGATCCTCGTGTAATATAACTTCCGGTGTGTTCCATACAGCGCTAGAATAGTCCACATGGTCCATGTTGTGGAAGATTCCTCTTTTCTCCCAAAATATCTAAATATAGCAACTACACACCATTGTTCACATCAGATGATTATACATGCCTGACAACTAACTAAATCTAAAATCTAAACAGAAAATCTACTGAATCTACTGCATCTCAACCTTAACGATGTAAAACATATAACAGCCTCGGTATCTGAGGATGAATGTTTTGTTTCAGGGGTAAAAAAAGACTTGATGCGGTGTGAACTGATGAGGACACAAGACCGTGACAATGAAAACCCAAGACTGAATCAGCTGGCTGATATTCTGGTCGACCTCATGGGAGACGTCCCAGACTTCAGGGCCATCATATTTGCCCAGACTCGAGCCACGTGCGGGGCCCTTGCTGACTGGCTCAACAATGACGTTCACGTCCCAGACGTTCTCAAAGACCTGAACGCTAGTTATTTCACCGGAGCACATGCGAGCGAACAGATCGGTGGTAAGACACAGACTGACTGGATGGCTTGAGACAATGTCTTATTCATGTGTCCACTGACTTTATTTAATATACACAGACAATATTTGTAGTTAGGAATCATAATGGCCATATAGATTTACACGACTGAATGTGTGTTCTTTGTCATATTCATGGTTTTGTCGGTTTGCTTATTATCCACGACTAATAATTTATTGACCCATTATATTACCATACCAATCTTTTCTCTTAAAATGTGAGACCAGTGACGATCCGGGTTAGAATTGGTCTTCTTTAACCCATACTTGTCATAAGAGACTACTAACGGGATTGGGTGGTCAGGCTCGCTTACTTGGTTGACACATGCTATCCCAATTGCGTAGATCGATGCTCATGATGTTGATCACTGGATTTTATGGTCTAGACTAGATTATTTACAAACCGACTCCATATAGCTGGAATATTGCTGAGTGTGGCGTTAATCAACAAACCGACCAACCAACCTAAAAGATGTGACGACGCTTTCCGGATTATATCTGTTACGTTCGCAGATAACTTTCCAGAAGACGTCTGTTACTGATGTCAGATACAGTGTGCGAAATAGCCACTGGCCCGCTAGCCCGTGGCTAGAACAAACCCAGTCGGGCCAGTAAATCTTCACAGTCACTGGCCCGACTGGCTAGTGAATTTTCTTGGCGTCATTTTGTAAATATATATATCTCTCTCCAACTTGTTAAGTTATATCACACTTTTGAATCATGCAATATTATGGCCTGATAAAAATGTTCATCATTTTAGCAGCTTAATGATATCTACATTCACATTTCGGACTAGTGAATTTTTTTGTGGGCTAGTAAAATTCAGGCATAGCTAGCCCGACAGGCTAGCAAAATTTGGAAACTATTTCGCACACTGTGTCAGAATAGTTCTCTGTGTTTCTTGAAAACGTCTACAACTACAACCATGTTCCTTGAACGTTTTGAAGTGACGATGTTTCTGGCATAACACTGTTACCTCCAGGCATGACCCAGACCCAGCAGGATAACGTGCTGGCCCGCTTCAGGTCGGGCAGGATCAAGTTGATTGTGGCTACCTCTATTGGTAACGAAGGCATTGACATCCCTGACTGCAACGTGATCGTTCCCTACAACCACACCGGCAATGAGATAACAACGCTCCAGGTTCGAGGGTCAGTGGCCAGGTTATATAGTACAACCAACCTCTTCATATCTGTACGGTGTCTGTGCTCGGTGTATGTGCTCTGTGTCTGTGCTCGGTGTATGTGCTCGGTGTATGTGTCGGTGTGTGCTCAGTGTCTGCTCGGTGTCTGTGCTCGGTGTCTGTGCTCGGTGTATGTGCTCGGTGTATGTGCTCTGTGTCTGTGCTCGGTGTCTGTGCTCGGTGTATGTGCTCTGTGTCTGTGCTCGGTGTATGTGCTCTGTGTCTGTGCTCGGTGTGCTCGGTGTATGTGCTCGGTGTATGTGGTGTCTGTGCTCGGTGTATGTGCTCGGTGTATGTGCTCTGTGTCTGTGCTCTGTGTCTGTGCTCTGTGTCTGTGCTCGATGTATGTGCTCGGTGTCTGTGCTCGGTGTATGTGCTCGGTGTATGCTCTGTGTCTGTGCTCGGTGTATGTGCTCTGTGTCTGTGCTCGGTGTATGTGCTCGGTGTCTGTGCTCGGTGTCTGTACATGTGTGTACGTATGGCAGTTATCAAGCGGAAATATTTCCTATATTCACCACTGTTTATGTTTTAAAGGTCGAAGCAGGAAGGTTGGCGGAAGAACTGTAAATCTTGCAGACGACAAAGTTCAAGAACGAAATTGTCGCAACCTGGTGAAAGAATATTTGATGAAACAGGCGGTCGACACCATCACTCGAATGCCCTATGACCGAGTTTCAAAGCTAATCAGGTTGTTTCAACAGGAAGTTCTAGCGGCAGCGGAAATCTCAGAGCGAGAAAGACAGGCTGATGCAAGGCAGGCGACACATGTGCAGTACTGTGTCATTTGTAAACATTGCCGGACAGAACTGACAACTGGTGACTTGATGAGAGTCATCAATGGAAGCCAGTATGTAGTGGTTGACAAAACCTTCACATCGAAAATAAATAGCCATGTGCCGAGACAGATAAATGACCAGCTAAAATTTGATGATGTCATTATGGCTGGCGGGATCTCGTGCATGAAATGCCATAAACCACTTGGAAGCCGAATCCTCGTCAGTGGCGTGGTGTTCTACACTCTGGGAATAAAGCATGTTCTATTTCTAATCGATGGAACTCAGGAACCTCAGAAGTTCAAACAGTGGTCGAAGGTCCCCTTCAAACCGAGACCGATGAGTACAGCAGATCAGCAGGAGTACAGCAGACCCTGAAGGAGACCACGCTGGTCTCAGTGAGCGATGAAGCAATGTGATGTATGGACTGTTTGTGATATGTAACGTGTTTGTTATGTACACGTTACTGACTGATTACTTTTAACTGATATTCCGTTCAGTAACATCCACATGCCCTCGTGTATTTGCGAGGATTAAAGATAAAAAAATAAAACATTGTTATTACCTACGAGGGCGATCATATTTTTCATACGATTCCCTAGGGCAAAATATCACTTTGTCATGGTGACGTGACGTCATGAACAATGCTATGACGTCACGTTTCTTCTGTGAGGCTGCGTTCTCCATGCGGCGGCGGCGGCGGCGGCGGGTAGAGGGCCTATGTTTGAAAGTAGATTTGGGTTATTTTCCTCAATTTGACGACTTCGGTAATAAACAGAATATTATATTCGTGCCCATATTTAAGAAATACACTTCGCTCTACCACCATGTATAGTGTAATAAAACACACTTTTGCCCTGAACTATTATAGTTTAAAGCACGAGGACGCTTGCGTAGCCAACTAGCCAACTATATGTCACTTTTATGGAGAAGGCAGCTGTTCCTCCAGTGTCATTACTGTATGGAAGGTTATAGTGGGACACCATACACCACGAGATGGTCCACTACACAGTGTTGTCGAAGCCAGTTTGTATTATTTCATTAAGCAATTAATTAGAACTTTAGTTGTTGCTGTGATACAAACGTGTGATCAATTTAGAGAGTGTATAATCTATTATAATATATACATAACATATATATAGAACAAGCATATTTATACCATGTGTACACAAAATATATATAGTACATAGAATCGTGTTTACATAATACTGTTTTACTAAATTTAGGTTTGTGAATGATCATTGTACTGATGAAATTGGACTTCTGATATATTGTATTCTGTAACACATTTTGCCCATGTTTATCGTAACTATATTGTGTCTATCCCTATTTGGACTACATTGCGTCTATCCTTATCTTCAGTATACATGTGTCTACCCTTATCTTCAGTATATATGTGTCTATCCTTATCTTCAGTATATATGTTTATCCTTATCTTCAGTATATATGTGTCTACCCTTATCTTCAGTATATATGTGTCTATCCTTATCTTCGGTATATATCTGTCACCCTTAACTTCAGTACATATGTGTCTGTCCTTATGTGTAGTAGGTTGTCTTTGTATATTTGCGACTGGAAAGCACGTCAGCTTATGGCCTTTCGTCGCTCTGGATTTAATTCCAGGTTCGATATCAAGCATTCCTGGTCAAAACTTTGTGATTACACTCACTCACTGTGTCCGTCCTGTGTGTCCCCACTCTAACTACTCTGGTGTAACAAATAAAGTCATTTGTTTGATGGTCAGAGTTGATCTTGTCTTCGTTGGACAATACAAGAGTCTTAAACACTTTTGGTTTGTCGCAGTTAGAGAAATTGGGGTTTAACACCGTGTGGATGTATGTGACTGAGGTTTCCAGTGCGGTTAAGAATGACGCTGAGCGTTGTTCCTCAAAGTTATTGAAACATTAACTTTACATGTGTCCATTAATAATCAATTAACCCATTAACAGTGGTTCATTGATTCCAGGTGGTATAATCTCTACACATTATGTTACTGGTAGATATTGAACATGGTATACAACGTCACATAGAATGTCCATACGTTACCAATATTCCAGCAATATCACGGCGGGGGACATCACAAATGGGCTTCACACATTGTACCCATGTGGGGAATCGAACCCGGGTCTTCGGTGTGACGAGCGAACGCTTTAACCACTAGGCTACCCCCCACCGACCCACACCTGAAATAGAGTGAGTGAGAGTGTGCATGCATCTCGGCCGGGGACACTAGAAATGGGTTTGACACGTGTGGGGAACCTAGCTACCCCACCGCCACTACCTGACATGGAAATACAGGAGATCCGTGATGTCGTGATGTCTTCGTCATAGTTAGATCTGTGCATAAAGATTCAGGGTGACAAAAGAGTCTCCACAAACTGTATGGAAAGAGGTATGACGTCGACTTCCCCTTTGTGTCGAGCAATATTTCAGCAGCTCGAGGCTATGGTGTCCACATTCCACGACTTATGAGGTACAATCAGGCATGCGATTTCAACAAATATCTCGAAGAACGGCATACGGCTCTGGCTCAGTTCATTGACAAACCCGCAAGGAAAAACCTAGAGGGAGGCAACCGCGATTAAACCACTTGGGAAAATTATGTCCATTGTTCTTAAATAAGAATGCCCTCGTGGTGTAAGCCGTTTAATCACCCTCACTGCGTAGGACATCGTATACGGTAGTTATTTAAATAAATAAACTTTGTTTTTACTCTTTTAACCATTACATGAAAGATGTGTGGTTAGTCTTATGCGGAACATCAAATTCATTCTTAAAAACTTTTGGTTAATTAATACTGAGCGATTAAAAGTTGCCAAAAAGTCGCCTGCTTCACTCGCGCCCGCCAACGAAACCAGAGACAGGTTACGTAACTCTGTCGCAAGAGCACTGCAGTGACGTCATGTGAGGAAGGATTAAAGTGTGTAACAAGCTCGTCATTTTGATGATTTCTCGACATCAACGAAGACATGCTGAATCGTTGCGTTGTCATCAATTGCTCCTTGGGGTCGGGCGATGGTGTCACCACGCACAGATTTCCACAGGATCACCTGTAATACGCACCAGCGACAAGACGTTTGCTTTGCTAGTGGCCGCTACAATTGTTAGGGTTTGCTATGTGCAGAGTAACGGCTCGCTTCAACTGAAACTACTTTTCACCACCTGGTCTTTACGCACAAATTGTGTAAGTAAAGCCAAACGTTATCTTTTTGGCGCGAATTTAACATCAAATTACTATTTTGAAGTTAACGTAGCTCTGAAATGGAGTTTTATAAACTGCAATAAATGTTAATGTATTGATTCCACTATTGCGGTGACCATTAGCAACCAGTAACAGACACCGTAGCAAACCGTATTTACGCACATGGCTTACCGTTAGCGACCACAGTATGAAACTTACAAAATGTTGTAAATGTTATATCATATCAGCTTTTCATCGTGATTACGGCCAATGCAGTTAACAATCATGTTATTGTAATGCTTCTTGAAAATGTATATATAAGTTGAATTTCTCTTTACGTCAAATTTAGATAATAATAAATAAATGAAATCGAAAGCACTGTTTGGAATCAAAGGGTTATACATTAGTAAATTCACATTTAAAACAATTCTTTTGAACACACTCTCATTTACAAATTCTTCTTTTAAATACTGGCTATCTATGATTGACAAGATTTTTACTATATAGCGTATAAATGTGATAAAATGTACCTGTCACCTTGACTCAACCAATGTTATTCAGCCGTAGCGAGACGTTACTCTGCACATAGAAAACAGGTGTTGTAGTCAAAAGGGCCAAAGGACAAAAGGGCCAAAATTGAAAAAGTCAAAAGGGCCAACAGACAGTCAAAGGGCCATAGACTTAGGTCAAAGGGCCATAGACTTAGGTCAAAGGGCCATAGGTAAAAAAGAACATACAAACTAATATATATTTTATGTTTTATTATATTAATATTTATTATTATTATTTATATTTTTGTTTTTGTATTTGTGTCAATATGGAAATATGTAAATAATAACAAAAAGTAATACTTTTAGTGTGATCATCATACACACGACAGTTGAGTGGTTCAAATGTTCAAATGGTGGTTCAAGTGGTTGAAATGTTCACAATTCCACTCACCTTTAGAGATCACCTCAAACATCATCACTGAGACACATCATCATACACATTCCACTGCAATCATTCCACTGACGTGGTAGGGCCATAGATACGTGAGCACATGTTCAGAGCGCAGCGGGGGCCCAGTTCCCCATCCTTATACATTTGCCATTGCCTCAAACAGTTCTTCCTGATCTTTCTTGACGCAAACGTCTTGATGTTCTGCAGCACCTCTAGTTTTCCTCCTCTAATTTAAATTTAAAGTAGACGTTTTTTCTCCAATGTGATATTTTGACGAGATACAGGGGGCGTAGCTACCATTATAAAGTCTTGGCTTACACATGGTTTTTGCTACGAAAGTTGATCAAGCCCTCAATACTGTCTAAATATATGGCTTTGCAACCTATTGAGCAAGCCCTCAATACTGTCTAAATATATGGCTTTGCAACCTGTTGAGCAAGCCCTCAATGCCCTGTCTAAATATATGGCTTTGCAACCTGTTGAGGCAAGCCCTCAATACTATCTAAATATATGGCTTTGCAACCTGTTGAGGCAAGCCCTCAATACTATCTAAATATATAGCTTTGCAACCTGTTGAGCAAACCCTCAATACTATCTAAATATATGGCTTTGCAACCTGTTGAGCAAGCCCTCAATACTATCACACTCTCTCAAAAAGAAACGCAACCCCTGTTTTTGGTAATGTTTATATCAATTTTAACTGGTTATTACATTTGTATTTTTAAAGATAATGCCATGAAATTTGACATGGTGAACCTTAGGTCAGCACGGTATAAGGTAACAGTTAATGCAGGTCAGTATCGAACTCTCAATTTACGCTAGAGGCGTTGTCTTCCAGTATCTCGTTGTAGAGCCACGAGCTCTAATCACAGCAGTGCACCTCCTCGGAACAGAACAGATCAGACGGCGGATGTTTTCCTGGGGATTGCTCTCCACTCTTCCTGGAGTGCTGCGGCCAGTTCAACCAACGCGTGCGGTTGTGGTGTACGTGCACGAACACGACGATCCAGCTGGTCCCACAGATGTTCGATAGGATTGATGTCTGGCGATCTGGAGGGCCACGGCATCACGTTGACGTTTGAATTCTGTAGGAATGCCACTGTTGCACCAAGCTGTATGAGGGCGGGCATTTGTCATGTTGAAACAACTCCCTCTGTTGGTCGATTATCGGCAGAAGATGTGGCTGTAAGACGTCATCAATGTACCGTTGTGCCGTCAAATTGCCACGAATGATGACCAAGTCTGACCGTTGGTTGTAAGACATGGCTCCCCATACCATGATGCTTCCTCCTCCAAATCTGTCGACCTGTCGAAGACGCAGTTCAGTGCAAAACGTTCATTTGCTCGTCTATAGACACGTTGTCTACCGTCGTCGTTGAAGAAGAAAACG